ATGGAAAAGTCATGCAGAATGCTCCGCCTCTGCACTTCTTCGGCTCTGCTTGGGATGCCCACAATCCCCTGAGCTCAGAGGCTTATGCACATCCTCACTGGACCGCACCCTAAAGGGAACGATGCTTTGCAAGCTCAGGCAGAAAAAGCCATGCAGCCCCCACACTGTGGTGGTGTGCAGGCCTGGATGCTGGTTCTCACTCCTGAGAAAGCTCATCAGGTGATTTTGGGCCAGTCACAGACTCTCGATCTAAACTACCTCACAGGGCTGTCGTGAAGATAAAGCAGAGTGGAGGAGAACAAGTGGGGTGTAAATATAATGTCACAATAGTTAATCATTGTACTTATTAATCAGCTGTTACTAATTAAGTAATTAGCATCAACAGTCATTGTTAATAATTATTAATTATAATAGTGTTTGCCTACTCATCAGCCCAAAAGTAGGTTAGGCCAAGTGACAGTAAATAGATGCCAGTAAATAGAGCAAGGTTACCCACTGAGCGTCGTAGCTGAGCGGGGCTTAAAACCCGGGTCTCTGCAGTTCCCGTCCAACTTTCTAACTACTAGGGCACACTGCTGCATTTGATAACCCTCACATCTGACAACTACAAGAATGCCTTCTCAGCCTGGGATCTCTGTCTCTGAACACACGGCACTCCTGGAGTTTCTGTGGGACAGCTCTGGGGTACGCGGGCAGGAAGATGCTATTTATCTTACATCCTTCACGATCTGTGGGGTTTCCCACATGCAGCTTATCGGCCGCTGTGTGAACCGAACACTGCACTAGGTCTTTGGTCTCTGGTCTGATTCCACAGGGTCCTTTTCCTCTTACATTTCTGATGCCGTCTAAGAATTTGCAGGCAAAAATAGCCCAACACCATGTAAAATATTATTGGATCCACATAAAACTTTGAGCCCTAAATCAGGTCCACTAGTTGGAGTTTAAGGGTTTTCCCCCTTCCAGTGGGACTATCAGAAGCCTGTTCTTTCTTGGCCAGTTTCTTGCTTTTATTATCTACCATAACATGCAGTAAAAATGGAATGTACAGTTTTAAATCCTATCAAACGATCATCCTTAAAGAACTCAGCCTCAAACATCGGTGGACTAGGCAGAAAAGAGCAGGAGAAAAAGAAACAGGATTGAAAGCAGGGTGAATAGATTTGGGTGTCATCCTGTAACACCCAACACCTTCTTTTTTTTATAATGTTGTGTATCTTCCCAATGTAGCAGAGAAATCACACGCTTAAAGCCTGCAGTTTGGTAATAAGGTTGTGGAAAGGCTTCTGCATTCTGGTGTATACATATGCAAACTAAATTCTTCGAGTTAGTCCAGGGGCAAAAGTCCTTCCCATAGGCCAAAGGATTTTAGGATGGCCATAGATGTACATCTGCAACTCTACCAGTTGTGCATTCATTCATTCATTCATTCATTCCAGTTTTATACTGCCCAATAGCTGACGCTCACTACTCTTTATCTCTGAGTGGTCCCAGTAAGTTGACTTTGGGAGTAATCCCCTGAACATTTAGGGAAAAAAGAAATCCTACAATTTACAGCATGAATGGCTGAGCAATCTAGGAGTTGTAGGACTCCCCCTGCCCCCAAAATCTAGCAATGCATAGGATCACATCCTTTATTGGTTCTATACAGCCTTTCCCAGCTTGGGTGCCCTCCAATTTTTGATTCAGTTCCCACTAGCCTCCCCCTGCATGGACAAAGGACCAGCATTCCAGAAGCTCTCATGTAAACCATGCGGGGGAAAGATTGGTTGAATGCTATGAAGCTACAGTTTCCTTCTTTGGAAACAAAGCAGTTTCTTAATAACTCCTCACCAATTCAAGTTGACTCCCACCAAATAATCAGTTCTGTTTGGCTGGATTCATCTACTAGGAAAGTCAGTTCATCTTGCAACCTGAAAACATGAGAGCATTTGCATTTCGCAAGCACGCAGCACTCCGGTGCCACAAAAACCTTCAAAATGATCTGTCTTTATAGATTGGCAGCATTCGAGAAAGAGCTGAATATGCCCTTTACAAACTATTTCACTGAAGGATTTTTTCCCCCTGTCTCTCCTCCCTAGTTAGCTCTTCAGATGCAGCACTATTAAAAAGCCTGCCATGGGGAGCTCTTACCTCCTTAAATGTACAGCACAACAATTATTTGCTGATCTGCTTAGGATATTCCTCTTTGTCAGCTTTCCTTTTTGTCAGAGTTCAGTGCTTCTGAGGGATATGGCAGAGAATGCTTGATTCGCTCTAATTTGAATAGACGTACAAATAAATGGGAACAATTTGACTACTGAGAGTGCATCTATTTCTGGACTGGGCAATTTGTTCTGGACGTGGCATGAGGGGACGGCCTCTCAGAGAATTTCCCGGTGCAGTTCTTTATTCTACTTAGTTTGTGTTTCAGATTGATAGCTAAAATGTGCACCATTGGACTTTTTGGAGGGCCGGCTTCAAGGTCAGAAAATCATTCCAACCCAGGGCTTGGGTCTTCGCATTTGGATACCCTTCCCCACTTGCAGCTGGTTCAGAAAGAACTATAGCCAGATGTATCTCTGAGGTCACCAGAGTGATCTGGACTAAGGTGGGATTTAGGGGGAGTTTGAGGGGGCAGGGAAGGATGCAGGAGCTGCCAAGATATGATGTACCACAGCAGTACCTCAACCTCTTTCCCTCTCTCTCTGCCAATCGTACACTGGACAGCACCAAATCCCTCCCTTTGGTCCAGTTCATACTGCTGGCCAGGAGTGTAAGAGCCAAGTTCCCTTTAGGAAGAATAAGGTAGCTAAGTTCTTCTGGCCAGCTAAAGAGTGTAGGTGGTACGGATCTACTGATCTCCCTGGCTTCTTGCAATGTGCATCGCACATGTTTTAATGGTAGACTTAGTGCACACATACGCCAAAGAGTGTGCGTTTAAACAAGGGATTCAAAGAATGACTGAAGCTGCTACGGCCAGAGAGAGAGGCAGTTCCAAGATGTGGAGCACAGGTGCAGTGTCCTCATGTGTCCCTTTTCTGAAGAGATGCGATGGCCTAGAACAGGCCTGAAGCTCCTCTGTAACGGGACAATGTCACAATGGGCAAGTGGGGGTGAAGATGGGCTTGCCCTCCCTCTGCCATGGGGCAGTCTCCTTCAGAGACCTCTCCCTTGGGATGTACCATGGGGTACACCTTGCCAGGGCCACCTGTAGGTGTGCCAGTGGTTATGACTCGATTCATCTAGCAGAAGCACAGTATGTCCAACTCAGACAACCCCAGAAGTTTCCTTGAGGGCTTCACTGTGTCTTTCCAAGGACTCCTAGACTCATCTGGACCCATGTGCATGTGTGAATCCCTTCTCAGCCATGGCACCAGAGACACACCACTAGGTCCCTCCCAGGTTTTCAGGGAGAGGAGGGAGTCCTGCAGTCAGGGACAGGGTGACTGTTATTAATAGACATGGAGAAATTGTCTTGGTAGAACCTCGCTTAGTAAGCAGGATTCAGCCGTTAGTCATGTTTTAGTGCCACTGTAAATATATTTTGGTCCACTTTTAAAAGGTTACAGCCATCATTTGGAGGCCTAGTACTTTTATAGCTCATGAAGATGGGTGTAAATCCAGGCGCAAAGGAGCTACAGTGCCATCAATAGCAGAAGCCGAAGGCAGAGGGGTAACATTGGCAGATAGAGCAGGAACATCAGTTACAGGCTGAACTGCATCACTTACATCACCAGGGAGAAGTTTTGCCAACCGTCTTGATCAACTAGATGCTTTATGTGCTTGGCTTTGCTGCGAGGCCAGCTCAAGGGACTCCACTGGGCGTGCTGGCAAATAGGATTGCCGTATTTTCTACTTCCTTCCAAACTCCATTTAATTTTGGATGAGGAATGTGAACCCCCATTGACACTGTTGCCTCCTTCTGAGGGGAAAATGACAGAGGGACTAGATTTCAGCATTATCCCAGAGGGGTTCCTGGGGCAGAGTGTAGATGCCATGGATTGACCATGGGCCGTTTCCCAGGGTACACACACTGCTGGAGGAACCATCCTCAGACAAGAAGCTGGAGCTTCCAGAGGAAAACCTTGTGGAGAAGGAAATCAGTACAGAAGGCCAAGTCTGGGTCTCAGGGGAGATGGTTAGAGGTCCATTCTTGCAAGAGGAAAAGAACCTTGCCTTGAAGACGCAGGTCAGACGTGTGCCAGCTACAAACCTTTCCCTGCTGGCTGTGTAGGAGAAGGATGGGAAGCCCATTTGCATGCAGAGGTCCAGCTCTGAGACTGAAACTACATTCCAAGCCCAGAGCTAGGACTCTGAAATGCCCCCAGCCCTCTTGATGCTGTCTAGGAGCCGTGAGGTTGCTTTCTGGAAGGACTTCTTTTTATTTGAAATCTAAATTATTGGATTTATTTGTCTAAAGGAGCTCCTCTTCCTGTATGAACCTACCTGACCCCTTAAGGTCATCATCGGGGACCCTTCTGAAGGAGACCCCTCCCCAGGAAAGTAGGGGAGTGGCTACAAGAAGAAGGGCCTTTTGGGGAGTGGCATGCTGACTTTAGAATCAGCTCCCCAGAATGGTTTGCCTGGTGCCCTCTTTGTATTCTTTTCTGCTCAAGCAAAGACCTTCTTATTTTCCCACTATTTTAACCATTAGATTGATTTTAATTGCTGTCTGTATTTTACATCTTATTACAGTGCATCCTTTTGTCTTTTATGTAATCATACCTTCTGTTAAGAGTGATACTGGTGTGCCTTTTAATTGTCCTTTTAATATTAATCTTAATATTGTGATTTTAGTGTTTTACTACATGGTTACATTGATTGTATATTTTTACTTGACACCTGCCCAGGGAGCCTTGTAGCTAAGAGGGCAGGCTAAAAACCCTGATGAATAAATGAATTCACACAACCCTTTGGCTCCTGATTCATTCTTGGGATTGGCATCCATGGGCCTGAAGGCAATTCTATGATATTAGGGGTGCTCAATTGGAGCCAGGCAGAGACAGGCAGTGGATGCTTACTTTGATGACCTCCTCGGCAGAGGACTTGCATTCGACCGACTCTGAGATGTCCGTCACCGCGCTGTTCTCTTCGATCGAAACCACTTTGACAGGGACTGCCACAGTCTTCCCTGTGAGGATGGCCGTGTTCAGGATCTCTGTGTCCTGCAACACAATTGAAACCAGGAGATTAACGAGTGTCGAGATCATGTTGTTTGAGAGAAGCCCAGAGATGATAGGCATGCCTGCAACCAATAAGAGAAGACAAAACTGAGAGGGGACATGATATCTCTCAACGGCTGTCCCAAAGAGGAAGGCCAAGATCTCTTCTTGCTGATGCCAGAGCGTAGGACACAGAATAATCAGCTCAAGTTTCAACCCAAGTGACAACCCAGATTCATGGTGGACATCAGGAAGAGCTTCCTCACTGTCAGAGCAATAGGACAGTGGGACCAACTGCCTGGAGAGGTGGTGGGCTCTCCCACGCTGGAGGCATTCAAAAGAAACTGGACACCCTCTGAGTGGGATGGTATAAGGTGGTGTCCTGCAACGGCAGGGGGTTGAACCCCATGGCCTTCATGGCCCCTTCCAACTCTTCTATTCTATCATTCTATGATTCTAAGATGTGGGAGGGATGAGTTTGGGTTCTTCTGAATCTCACCCAGGGATCCTGGAGCAGCCTGGCCTTTTGTACTTCCAGGAGGATTTGTGCTAATGCACACTGGTGCAACAGCACTAGCATGCAATGGTGCACTATTAGTGCAAATAAAACAAAACCCTCATACATTGCCCCATCACCTCCAATTCCACCAGCAATTGGCCAAGAGAATGAAAGTTGCTCGACGGTCCATGCAATGCATGGGGAACGGATTGCCCAGCATCTGCCTCCCATCACCATATTGTGATTTCTGGCTAGTTTGTATTAATGGGGGATATTGGACCCATCTGCGTTGTGCCATCAACTGGACCGCTGTGGAAGCGACTGCTGTTGTGAAGGGCATTCCCCATAGGCTGCACGCTCCACTTGAGGGAAGTACGAGCTGAAAAACGCTGTAAAGCAAACTTGCCTCTGTTATCACAGCCCCCCTGCGGTAACCCCCACCCTAACGCAGCTGCAGGAATGGACTCAACAATACCAATATAGGTCTTTGCAGGCACAAGTCTTTCAGCTCAACAGAGCTCTGATCTAAGGAAAGAGCAGAAAGGTTTTTCAAGAAATTGTATCTTTGCTGTTCATCCCCCCAGCCCCCAGCACACCCCGGTTCGTTTTTTGTGAGTACTTCAAAGTTTCCTGGAGGTACCTTTCAACTTCCAGCCCTACAAAAGTGACTGGAATATTTTGCAAAAGCAGAAGCAAAGGTCAAAGAGAGCACATCTCTTTCTTTCCGCTTTGGTCTCCAACTTAAATCAGAATCAAAGGCAAGCTGATGGCTTCCATTGTTTCATTTCCAGATGTCTGATAACCATAATCCCCCCTTTCAGCCTCAGATCTTACTACATTTGGCTTCCAGTTTCATCTCCTCTGCTGAGGAACCATGGAAAAACAAAATAGTTGGGAAAGCTCTCTCCACTGCAGTTATGTTTTATCTGCCACATACAGTGATGGCTGGGACATTTTATTCCAGAGTAATCATGTTTAAAATTAAGTTGGCACCAATTCTAATGCCCCTTTCCCCGTGCGTGTGTATGCCTACGTGTGGGAATTAATATTTTATGCTTTAGGTTTCCTGGATTTGGTTGGTCCCCCTGGTGGATGTGCCTGAGTGACTTGAGTCTCTGCTTGAAAAATAACAAACAAAGAACCAGAGACTTGTTTTCCTACAACAATGTCCTTCAGTTGTCAAGAACATGTGTGTTTGCTTTTAAATGAGCACTAGAACCCATTTCCTCAAGCTGCACAAACATGGGCAACATCCAAGGTACGGTGATGAAGTTGTAAGATTCAGGAGGCCCATCCGGTTCCCTAAGGGTAGCCAGATGGCCACTGTGTGAAGGGAATACTGGACTAGGTGACTTTTGAACAGAAAGAGCACTGCTCCCCCGCTTTGGTTTTATGATACATTCACCATCCCCAAATATCTGACGAACTGTTGCAGTTCTCCTTGCTCCAGGAGGAGCTGTTGCTGGGTTCAAATAACAAGCAGGAGATGTTGGCCACAGGCTAGTAAGAACTTGATCATCTTGCTTGCTGGGCAGCGCTTTGGGAGTTGGTGGTCTCTCCTTCGTTAGAGGTGTTCAAGCTGGATGGCCATCTACTAGGGATGCTGTGGCATTGGATTTCTTGGATCAACAAGGGGGGAGGACCAGATGGCCTTTGAGCGACTTTCCCACCCTGATTCTATGAACATATCTAGAGATTGTTAATTGAGTAGCGTGGGCAGGGTAGATCTCGTATTCCATTCAGATAAAGATGCTCCTACTGATTTTCCTTCTCATCCATGCATGGGAATGAACAACCCTGAAGCAGAACACAATTTCCTATGTGGAAGAGCTGCAAAAGTTACAGACTAACTTTTTTGAGCCTCACCAGTGGATACGGAAGAGGGAGGGGGTTGACTTGTCTTTTATCGGATCTGTAATTAAGACATTTCAATCCTCTGCCCCTTGGCTAATGGTTTCATTACAGGAACCTGCAAATGAATGGATTTATTTTGATTAATTACTTTGGGGGTTTGCATCTGGGAGGAAAGAAATCAAAGGCATGGTTTGTTGTGCTAATGGCTTGCTGAAATTTTAAATCTTTTCTCCCAATACTCCCTTCTGCACAAAACGGCATCCAAAACTTCAAGAGTAGCCAGTTTCTAGGCACATTCTTTAAAAGGCATGCAATGGGTGTCGTTAGCATCATTAGGGTTGACTGACATGCATCGGGGTTGGGGAACCATCATGCTAGAATAGGGATGTGGAAAGCGAAAAGTTCCTCTCTGTCAACATCGATTGTGATTCATTAGCCCAGGAACTGTCCAGGCACATAAATCATAGAGATGCAGCTGATGGATTTTGAAGGCTACATTCCCCTCTCTCCAGGTGTATGTACCTTTGCTACTCAGACTGAGTGGAAAATTGCTCCCTCCTCAGAGCTGGGTCTCTGTTCTCAGGGCACCCCCTGCCTCTGCAGCCAGGGTGCATCTTCAGGGACACGAGGGTGACCTCAGAGATGGGATCTGGAGGCATTCTAGAGGGAGCTGGGAGGAGATGGACAGAAGAGGTGAGCCACCCCGAGGCTTCAGCGAATGGGGTGGCATAAAAATGTTTTAATAAATAAAATAAATAAATAAAAGAGGGCCAGGATCTCTTCCGGAGTGCAGGACATGGAATAACGGGCTTAAGCTACAGGAATCCAGGTTCTGGCTGGACATCGGGAAAACCTTCCTGACTGTTAGAGCAGAACGACAATAGAGCCCATGACCCAGGGAGGCTGTGGGCTCTCCTACACTGGAGGCATTCAAGAGGCAGCTGGACAGCCATCTGCCAGAGATGGTTTAACTTGGAGTCCTGTGCCGAGCAGGGGATTCGACTCGATGGTCTTATCCAACTTCCAACTCTTCCATGATTCTATGAGATCCAAGAAATCGGTCTCTCATTGACTAGCTGTAATAGACAAGCCTGATCAACAATGCAGGCTGGGCTTTGGAACACAATGACTTACAATGGCTACTGTTTCCTTGTTTCCTTTCTCCACCCCCTGCTCTCCCAGACTGCTTCTCTTTACACAGCGACTTGTGGAAATGTTTCGTTCTGGCCTCGAGGCACTGTTTTGACCCAGGAACGTCCTCATCCAGTTGGCAGTTGGCATCCTGTTGGCAGTGATTAAGGTAGTGTTGGACTGCAGACCAGAAAGCAACGCAGGTTGAAAGCCCTGTTTTGATGGAAACAGTTGGCCGCATATTTGCCTGCAAGGTCTCTAGTCCCTGGTGAACGAGTAGCTGAACTTTAGAGTCGAGATTACTCAGTTCCGGATGCTTCAAACAGACATGAATTAATGAATTCCCAAACACTCCCAAGGTACAAAGAGGAACATCATTATTTCATGTAAATAGATAATTAACAGGCAAAAACATTAAGAAACACATTTTCTTGCTCATTTCTCCACTGGCTTGATAGGCGCAAATGTATTTACTGATTCAAGCACAGCAGTTCCTTCCCAACAGCCCCCACACACATTAATTTAATCCCACACTGGAGAAAAGGGATTTTCAAAAGTGATTGATGAGATGATATTTCAACTTAGCTCCTCAAGAGTCACCCGTTTCACTGCAGATCCTAGAAATGTAACTACCTATTTCTAACTCAAAAGCAAAAATATTCCTTACATGCAAGATGCAATGTTCTCTTTTCTCCCTACCTGGCCTGCCTCTCCATGTCTCAAAGTGCTTGAGTTGCCTTCCATAACAACAGAAAGTGGACACTTTTATTCACCTACAGCAGCCCAATTTTTCTCTCCCTCCTTGTTTTCAATGGGATTATAGCCGAGTGTCTGTTAGCTATACTGATCAAGCTTGTAGTCCTCACTTTTTAATTCTGTTTTAATGTTGTTGATAAAATTTCCTCCAATGCTAAATGGTGCATAGTTAGAGTTATCTGGACATGTTCCAAGGCCGAACAAAGCAAGAAGATTATAACTAAGGCATGACTAATGCAGGAACTAATTCGACATTAAATTGCAGCAGAACCATGAAGCAAAATTGACAACTCTTTAATTAAACTCCAAATCCGATTAGAAGCTGCTATCTGGAGGCATTCACTGGGACCTAAGGTCACGAGGATGGGCCAGTTTACATCCTGCCTATTCCACACGTGTTAGTCATGATGCAGAAAGCAAGTCTAACCGCTGCATCACACTACCTGTCTACCACCAGCAGGGAGTCAGTCTCCCTCTAGCGCTTTCTTTCTACCCTCCTTCCCTGCTCCTTCTCTTCAAGCACACACAGAAACTCGCTTTCTTGATCTTTGCTTTTCTCACAGCACTGGGTAGGCTGAAACGTCCCTCTTTGCTTCTAGGCCAGGTTTGAGGATCTGGGACTAGTGTACTAAATCCCAAACAACCCTCAGCCAGGTAAGCTCAGTTTGGTCCTGCAGGACTGCACGGACTCAAGGCCCAAGGCCGGTGCAGTGGTCCCATTCCTACGCAACTCTCTGCTTCCAAAGGCCAGGCAATTTCTGCC